TCGTCGTGAAATGATAAATGCTGATGAATTAGTTACTGCTTTGTTAAAAGCATTTCCTGATCATTCAAATCCATATTTACGTGTCTGGCCAAAACAATTTAATTTTGATGATAACCTTTATGAAACAGCACGTATGGCTCGTTCAATACGTTTATTATTTGGTGTTCATGGAGCCGGTTTATCAAATGCTGTATTTATGAGACCAGGTGCTATTCTTTATGAAGTCAATCCATATGGTTGTCGTCATTTATCATTTAACTTTCATCGTTGGGCTGATGTATTTAATCTTCAACATGCATTATGGATTCCATCACAAGGCAATAATGGGAGGACAAATAACTATTGTGAACGTGAATCATCGACAACATTAAATGTAAAAGAAATCATTAATGAAATGAAAAGTTTGCTTAAAGATGAAGTTGAATATCGAAGTGGTTATATAAAACGAGCATTAAAGATAATGACTGATATGTCAATTGTCGATCATCCACCATCAGGATTTGAAAACATTTTCTAGATTTAATTATTTTCCTTTTCTTTTTCTTTTTGTTTTCTGAATTATTCCATACGGAAAGTACTGAAGAATACTCAAAAGTAGTTACACAGATATTCTGATTGCTTGTAACAAAGCTTAAAAGAAGACAAGGCTCTAGTTTTTATAGCATATTCGATCATTCTGTAACTAATACTATAATAATACAATTCCAATCAAACTTGTTTAATTATGATATGTGACGATTAAATTAGTTCATATGATCTTTGATATATTGAAATTTTATTATTATGATATTGGTTGAAGGATAATCCAAATATCATAGAAAAATAAACTATTGTTTTTTTCTATCAAATTATTTATGATGAAAGTTTATATAAGCTTTTTATAATAAATTAGAATACGTCTGCCATTCCTTTTAACTGAGTATTTTCGGAATGACTGACAATTGTTTTATAAATTATCCAATTGTTTGATAACATTATCAATCTACCAAATGAATCGGATAAAAAAAAATGAGCACAATTCTTTTCTTGAACTCTATCACGCATGAATACGTAATCATTCTTTTATTTGAAATAAAATATATGATGTTTCATATAACATTCTACGTAATAAAAGAATTTTATAGAGTTGAAAACTTATATTTTCTTAGGGTAGGACAGTACAATAAGCATCATTGGTACCCATAATTGTATGGTCACAATGTTTTGGTTCGAATACTTTACATTTGTCTTTGCATGCTTTAGTTGTGCATGTTGTATCAACAAATGATTGAAGAAAAATTGGTTTACAACGTAAACCAGAACAACATGAACAAACACATGATAATCTACTACTTGGTGTTGTACCAGTTGGACGACGTGTTGTTGCTGTGTGACGACCAGTTGAAAAGAATTGACCATAAGTAGCAGCCAAACAAATAGCAAATAGGCACGAAATGAATAATAAATACTTCATGATCTGTACAAAAAAGAAAATATCTTAGTTTATATGTAGATGTAATATATCAGTTGCAATATCCGAAACCCTCGAATAGAAAAAGTTACCGAAATAACTACTGTTAAACTTACTTTTTTCTTTGAATTATTGAGTTAAGTCTCCTTGAATATGCCTTGATACTATCGAATCAATGGTAGAAGCTATTGATTATATATATATATCTGTATATATTGTATTGGGCAGATGATGTCAATGTGAAAACGACCACATGCTACTTTGATTATTCACTTAAATTTACATGGAATACAATAATATTTACTTTCGATATCAATAATGATAACAAAAATCGAAAGATCGATTAAATAACGCAAAAAGACCTCCATCATTTTATTTTAACCGCTAAATCAAGAATACATGAAGGAAATTCATTGGCCAAAAGTCAAATTGTACTTTATTTTTTATAATGGTCAAGATATGCGAGATAATCAAGCTTTTCCTAATATTCAATATTCGATTCTTTTTCTTTTATAGAACATAAATGAAAAAGAAAGATTTTTATTTCTTTCTATCCAAAACGAAACATACTATTATACTTCAAATTAAATCTAAAAAATAATTATGCTTTTATTCTAAAGCAAACAAATTTTATTTGAAATATTGAATTCATGAAGTAGATGTGTGCAGAATAAAAAGAATAATGATTGAAAATGATAACCATGACAGCAATCAAAATATTTCTTTTTCATTAGAAAGAATCTACAACATATGAATTATTTTCTTTTTCGGTCAATAATGAAATATTAAATATTGTTGTTGATCAAAGAGATGAGTGTTTAAAGTAAATTAAAACTAAAAACAAATACTATTGATTTTTTTAGACAAAAGACGTTCTACCTGGTCTAACTAAAACAAAATTATATCCTATTAAGTAAAATATTTCAATGATTTCAATATATCAGACCACAGTCGTAATTTATGGATTTTCATGAATAGTTGTGAAATATTACTGAATGTGAAGAGAATAAAGCTTAAATAAAAATGGTTCAATTTTTTTCATGTAACAATACTCAACAGATTGGCAATAGAAATATATAATTGATTTCATGATAGATCGTCTAATCGAATGGTATGTTATACTTAATAAATTTAATCTAAATCGAAATTTTCTTATTAACAGTCAAACATGAACAGTTAAGAAACATGTGTAACTATGCACAAAATGTAGCATGACATACACGAATTATTTTTACATGACATATGTGTGAATCCGTTAAAAGTCCTACATACTGTTTTTCGAAGTGTAGTCAAAAACTGAAAGATATTATGAAGATTCAACAACTATCAGACATATATATACATAAATGCTAATAAGTGTAAAAATTTTTAAAAAAATTAATCAGATTTTTGAATTAATATAGATTGATTCTATGAGAGAATGATCTCATGTCAATAGAAAATAAATAAGTAAATGTTGAGTGAAACACAACTTTTGCATCGAACATTCAATGCATTGCAAAACAGCTTGATATGTGCATATCGGTACAGAATCGTTTTGATGATAGTCCCGATAAATAAGAATTTGTTCTCGTTAACATACAACATTTAGCAAAATTCGAATTGTCCTGCAAATACGCAGAAATAATACCTTAGAATTTACATGCACGGTGACTAGAAAACTTGCTTGTATACAAATACATGTGTTTTTTTTAAAGTTTCGTGTTTGACTGGGTTAGTATTTTTCCATCAGATCATGATGGTTTGTTTCAATAAGCACTATCTATAGCAGATCAATTAACCACAACTGTTATTATAGATGGAAATTCAAAATGATGTATGTTGTTAATATTCGATATGCTTCAAAAATGCTTCAGGAAAAAAGAAAGAAAATAGATATTGTTGACAGTACTGTCAAATGTTATCCTATGGGCTTATTAAATATTGTAAATGAACATAAGATGTAAGACAATTATCTTGTGTTTTGAGTTCATTCAAGTAGAAAAAAAAGAAAAAACACCAAGTATTTTAAACCTTTGACGTCATATTATTAGTAATTTTCTTAATATTTCTTAGTCAAAAATAAATCTCTTCGGGCAAATTACAAATATAGAGTCGGTTTTATTATGAAAATAAAAGCTTGATTAGAAAATTAATCTTTATTGCTAAGAATTTCCACTATATTCACAAATAAACTTATCATTACGTTCGTAAAAATGATATTTTAGTAAATTATTTAACAAAGAATTTTTGTGCATTTACTTCAACTGTATAATCTGGAAGTATAAAGTAGGATTGAATAATAAAACTAAATCGAATCTTTACTATTTACTTTAAACCGACATTACATTGATTATTTTCTATTATAAATTTCGATTAGACGATTTCTTTGAAAATTTTTTTTTAATTTCGAATGATCTTACAACTACATTTTCAGTTATTAAGTTATAAATACCTAAGAAAATTTCTAGGATTATTATATTGTAAGTACAACGTTCAAAAGTAGAGTTTATATTTATAGTTTGACATGTATTATATAGTAAAATTTAATATGTGATTGTATTATATTTTGATCAAACTGAATATATTTTTATCTGATTTGATTCAATATGAAATCTGATTATTTTAATTATTGTTCGAAAAAAAAATTTGATTTTCATTGTTTCATGATTTTAAAGTAAGACATCAGTTGTAATTTAACTAACATTCAAAAAAAAATAGATTTGTTATTCCTATAAACGAATGGTCTCAAATAACAAATAATTATTGTAAATATAACAAATATATAGATTATATGAAGTTTGTATACAAAAAAAAAAAAAGTTTATTTATCAAAGCTTCAATCGTTATCTTTTTTGATTTACGTTTGTTCAACAATTATATTGTATTTTATTGTTCTTCATAATATTATAAGTCTTTATTCTCGAAATTAATTTCAATTATACTATGATTTCATATAATCAATATATTTTTTTTGTTTTATATTTTGACATATCTAATATAAATATTTAATCTTAAGTAACGTCGAATGTAATAAAAAATGACATATTTTTCAAAAAACTAAATCCAATTGCTGAATATTGCCTTTCAAAAAGAGACACAAAAAAAAACAGAAAACTTAATTCGTTGCAATAAAGCTTCGAACTTCGATTAATAAATCAAACAACATAAGTTAATCTCATAATAGATGATTTGCGAGTTTCTATCATATCCAAGTATTCAAATTTTTCTAGTAATTGAAGAGTTTTTTTCAAAAAAATTAAAACCATTGTAAGAAATTGTTGAAGAGCATATTCTGATGTAAATATTCTAATTCAAAAGCCGAATTTTGGTGTTTCATTCGTTCTAGACGGCAATCTTTTATTATAGTAAAGATGTATCTCGTAGCAGCATTAGTTTTTCCTTGCAAAATTGATTTTTTTTTTTATTATAAATGAAGTTTTTTTTTTTTTTACAATCAGTAGATCTTTAATTATATGTTTTTATCATAAAAATAATATTTTAGTAATATTACATTTCATCAGTTTAGAAAAATAAAAACAATTGATCATCGAAAAGAAATGATATATGATTACATATCTTCGTTAAAAATCATACTAGTATCAACTTTTTGTCGTTTATTTCCATCAGATGGATGCAAGTTAACAAAAGTTTCGTCTTCTTTTGGCGGTACATTCATAAATACATTTGTATTTGTTTTATGTGTTGATGTTACAGCTAGCGTTTGTTGACTTTGAGTTTGACCAAGAGAATATGAATCTTTACTATCCTTTTCGATGTTTCCTGATGATGATGAAGATTTTTTAAAGTAATATTTTTGAATTATAAAATAACTAAAACCACATATGAGACCAATAAGTAAAAGTATTCCAAGTACCAATCCTATAATTTGTTGTGTATTAAGTCCTCCATTTAATTCTGTTGAGTTTCTAGGACGAATATTGTTATTATATGATGAATTGTTTGCTTGATTGTTTGAATTGTCATCAGAAGCTTCAGAAGAATCAATTGGAGTACTTTCCTAGGATGTTATTATGTAGTTAAAATTGTTTTTTTTTTTGTAATTTAAGTTTATTTATTTTAACACTTGACATTTTTTTTTCTCTACATTTAAAACTTCGAATATTTTGTAATTAATATTAATTTTGTATAGAAATACTGTCAGATTAGAAAGAAACTTCTGAACTCGAGAATTGAAAGTTTTTTTTATACAAATATGTGAATGAATAAATTTTCAGATTTATATATATATGTTGCAAATGAAATCGGTATGTGATTCTAGACGAATTCATACAATGAAAAAAAGAACTCAATTTACAAGTTAAAGCATTTTAGTTTATTTACCATTCTTGTATAAATAGTTTAAAAATAAAGATGAAAGTAACAACGACTGTGAGTTTATATTAAATCTCATCATTACTATATACTTTCACACCTAATTTGCTATTATCTATTTGATTGATTTTATACTAACATAATGTTTTCAAATTTTTAAAGGCTCTTTTAAGAAGCTAAAAAAAAGGAATGAACATTTTGTCTAATTACTTTTTTGATCACCTATTATCTAATTTATTCGATAAAAGTTCGATACCAAAGAAGAAAATACACCGACTAGGCAATCTATCATTTTCAAGCAGTCTAACTTGAGCTGTGCTTGATGCAAGAGAAAAAAATCAAAAATACTTGAATTTTATTTCTAATCAGTTTTGAGACATCTTTCTTCTAGGTGGTCTACTAAACATTTTTCGTATTTCAATAGAAAACTATATTAAATTTGATCTCAATAACCTATTTAATCAGATAAATTATTGTTATAAGTTGAAAATTTTAACCAAAAACATGATATTCTATACATACCGGTGCTTCTAACTCTAAAACATACGCATTAGTATTTGGTTTTTCATCTGTTTCTTCAATTTGTTCCAATTCAGCTTCCATTTGTTCTTTTGTCGGTAATTTATCAGCACCTGGATTATAATAACATGTATAATTAACATTTTTTACTGCTATACCATCCATTGAAGGACATGGATTATCTTCATTACTAGTAAATATTAATCGACAAATAATAGGATGATCTGGAAACCATATATAAATTCTTCTTTCTTTGAATGCAGTATGTTCACTAAAGTATGCATCATTTGCTGGTTGATTATTTGATATTATTGTTCCGTACTCAGATTCCTCACTATGATTGATTTTTAACTTGTAAAGTACTTTTGATTGATATAATTGACCTTTAGTATAAGTAATAAACACAGAATCATCACCATAGGATCTGAAAATACCTTGTTCTTCATGCACTTGAGTGTTATCGGAAGAACAAACAAGATTTAGTTGACCCCATTTAAAACCAGTATATTTTTCAGAATAAATTTCATCTTTCGTATTACATGTTACTAAATTATTGATTAAAAATCCAGAATGATAATCTAATTTATATACTTGTACTTGACTATGTGAACAACGAATTACATTTAAACCATGAAGAAAAACAATTTTTATCTTAGTTTCAATACTAATATAAATAGGAATAATATAGATAAAAATGAGAAATTGATAAAGACAATGAACAGAAATTATATTAGACATTAGAGAACTTAATTAAGAATAATAATAATAATAATAATAAGAGAATAAAAGTAAAGTAGCGCATTTTTTACTTGTAATATTCAATTATAAATTCGTATTGTTTCTTATATTTATCAGACGAATTTTTACACCTTTATCTTTTTTTTTTCTATATGTAAAACTTGTTGATTCAGTTTTTGAAAACAAAAATATGAAGTTTCATCAATTAGTTTTTTTTCTCTATCACTAACAATAAAAGGTTCTTTAAATAAAAAATATATTAATTAATGCAATGCAGTAAGAATTTAGAAGAAATCTAGTTCAATTTAATTTTAAAAATAAAAAGCAAAGTATCTAAAAACATAAGTTTTGAAAGATATTTGAATATGTAGTATTTTTCTTGATTCTTAATTCAATGTCTTGTATTATTTTCTATTCGAATAGTATTATGATTAAGCAATAAATAAAACGAAGAGTTAGGAAAACTTTATGACAATTGTATTCAGTCAATAAATTATTGCCGATTAGAATTGAATATCTCAGTATAATAATTGACTTCGAAATTTTGTCTAAACATACTCCTCTAATAATTAGTTATTATATTTGATAGTGAAACTTGATCGGAAATGATATATAAAGTTGAAGACAATACAGACTATGGAATAAAGCAATGAAAAGTAAGTGACAGCCAACTGAAAAAAAAATATTATTTTATTTCTACTTTCAGTTAATACATTCTTTATAAATGTTCGTCAATTGTATATTTTGATCGCCTGCTTACGTACAGAAAATATAAACGTACCTTTACTAGGATAAATGAAATATAAAAAGCGGTGGCGTAGCCAGGCTTGGGCCATTGGGCAATTGCCCAATAGCTTAAAAGTTATTGCCCAATAGTTTTTTGGAAACGATAGCAGTTGCCCGATGATAACAAATCTTGATACATGTGTGTTCGAAGACTTCAGTGATGTTAATTTAATAATTTGTCTCCTATAGTGATTTAATCAATTGATCGAGAAAGATCAATTGACGATCTTTTCCATTAAACCAATGACCGCAATAATTATAATTCAATCGTATTTTTTTTCAAAACTCTCGATATTTCACTTAAATGCGTTGATGTAAAAGATGGCTGCATGTTTAGCGGCCTTTCTGAGCATATAAAATCATATCAAACGTAAACAACTGAAACAATCTAAGCCAAACACTGATGCCGTGAGTGATGACATGGCTCTTGCAGCTTAAGAATTAAAAACCTGTATGAGCTAGATAGAATATGTAAATAAAAAACTGCTTCAATGTGTGAACGAAAGGAGAGTTCCAACCAGTAGTGTCTTTTTCTTTATCGGTACCGACAACAGTAGAGGGGACCAGACCGAGCATGAATCATTCTTAATTTTTTTGACCTTATAACAGGAAAATCAAATCCATTAACTACTCATATCTGTCTTCCAATCAATGCAATGATGCGATACAAGTCATCTTATAGTATTCTTTGCTGTTTATTTCTATAAGTTTTCCTGCACTATAACATTTGTTGGTGAACAGAAAACTTCATAGCACTACAAATACTGTATTGGCCTTTCTCATTCCTTAATTATTCATCAGATATGGACATCATTTATTAATCGTCCATGGAATCTGCTTTCACATCACATTTTCTTTATTGTCTTTCATTTTTGTGCGAGACATGTCCTAAAAATAATAAGGGAGACACGAAAATCTATGATAACCAACAGTTTTGAATAACTATCCAGTTTTAGTATAACTTGATATAAGAGTGAGTTAATAGAATACACCAAGAATTTTATGATGAATTCTGACTAATGAAGTAGTCTGGTTCATCTTTCTTTACATAAATAGTCTTCGAGATCAATAAAAAGTGTTTGATATATGAAAAAAACACTTATGCTAATTGTTTGGAGAAAAAAAGATGCGAAAATTCGAAAAAAAGCTTTATATCGGCTGGTAAAGAAATGCTGCATCTATCAGTGTGTATACCGATCGGTAAAGAATTCTTCACCGAACCTGTCGTTAGCCGTTATAACTCTGCTTATTTGTCCTTTTCTTGAAATATCGGCTGGTTCAGATTAAATGGCAATGTCTTTATTTTCTCTTTTTCATTTTATTATGTTAATAGTTTCTTCTAACTTTTTACCAAAAGATGTGCCGTGGAACGCTCTACAAAATGGCATATTTCGATTAACTTTGATAGCTTTCATTGTCTGATAAAAGCTTAGAAAGCTGTTTTGAAAAACTAATGCAACTTTCTAAAAGAGCTTTTGGGCGTAATATTTCGAATGACGTATATTTCACGAAGTAATTAATCGGTGATTTGGACGAAACTGATGTTCATAGACAATTGAACAGCAAAGTCGCCTCACATACACCTTCGATTCTACTACTATGTAGAATAAATTCGTTCAAATAACAGATTAGAAATCACTAATCCATGAAATGTAGGTTATTCGATATATGATGCCCAAAAGCTCTTTTAGAAAGTTGCATTAATTTTTCAAAACAGCTTTCTAAGCTTTTATCAGACAATGAAAGTTATCAGAGTTAATCGAAATATGCCATTTTGTAGAGCGCTTCGCAACGCATCTTTAGGTAAAAAGTTAGAAGAAACTATTAACATCATAAAACGAAAAAGAGAAAAAAAGACACCGCCATTTAGTTTAGACCACACGATAAAATATTGAAATATTTGAAAGTCGAAGAGTATATTTGTGAACCAGTACTAAAAAAAGCGAGAGAGCTCCTCTTAGTTGACGGTAACAAAATTCTTTTCAATAAACGTTGGCTTTTTGTGATGGTTATGAGTTTAAAAAAAATTATAGCTCAGTTGACTTTGAATTGCCCATTACTGCCCAGTGCTCAAAATAATTTAGCTTGGAAACGGCCCATGACTCAAAAATTCCTGGCTACGCCACTGACAAGAATACTCTATTTTTTTTTGTGATATTTGATCATTCTTCAACTAATATGAGAATAAAATTTCAATAAGAACTGTTTGTTATAATAGCAGACGGTAGCAGCTGATCAGATTACTGTCGATAAGTATTCTGTTTCTGCTTTCATACGAAGAAAAAGACAAAAGTTTAACCTTTTGCTACAAGAAAGACCATAGTTGATAGTTTAGAAAAAAAAACATTTATTAGCAGGGGTTATGAGCTAGACATTAAGACGCATGATTAGGTTTAAAGTAAGATAAAAGCCTGCAACAGATAATATACCAAATAGCGCTTAGTATATACATTTTTCGAGACTCACAGAAATAATTTTTCGAATAACAAAATCCATTTTCTTACACTTTCGTGTTTGCTTTACAACGTGACAGAAATGTTTATTTCGAATTTTAGAATAAATACTTCATACCTGAAGTGGTGTATTACGTGGACAACTCGAACTTTTCTCCCTTATTCGACACAGGAGAAAAGCGCTCATGCTCATGTGAGCGTGGACTGCATACCCTTATTTTGTACGATAAGCTGTTGCTGAGGTTTATAATGTTTACATTATAGAGCTGAAGAATACAATTTAACATAGGCAGATTTTTGAATAAAGTACATTATCCAAATGCTTCATTGAAAAGGACTTATTTCATTATAAATCTGTTCTTTTTGTCTATTTATAGATCTCATTGTAGAAGTATTTGAATATTTATTTTGAAGCTTTAATTAAATACATTTAGAGTCAACTGGATATTGATCATTAATAAACAGAAATACATATTGATTTAAAAAGCACGAACAACAACAACAACAACAAGTACAATATTCATTTACAATGCATACGATTAGAATATTACAATAGATAAAAAGAAAGTTTTTCAAATTGTTTTGATTATATTTCAGATAGTTTAACGTTTGGATATATCACGTGGTCTTATTCTAGTAATAGTAGCCATCGAAGGTTGTGTTTGCAATACTTGAAATTGAGGACGTAAACGTCGAGGTAATATATCCATTAAACCTTTAACAAATGTTTTACGAAATAAATGAGATGTTAATATTGAAAGATAAAATGATTTAACATTATTTATAT